CTGGACACCGGCAGGAGCTGCCTCCTCCTGGGCTCTCCTGCCAGGCCAGGCGCTGTGATCCGGGCCCCACCGGGAGCTGGAGCTGCCAGCGTGTCTGGATCTACGGTAACAAGCCTCTCGGGAGCACAAGGCAGCAGCTTTCACCCCGGGGGCAAGAGCTTGGAGGTGACCAGGCTCAGCGTGTGCTGCTCCCTCTGGAGCCAAGTGGCTCAGCCTGGGTCCTGAAGTCTCTGAGTTTCCCATCTCACCCTGCTGTACGGGTACCACGTCGTCCCCAAACAGTTGTCCGCGTGTCTGGATCTACGGTAACAAGCCTCTCGGGAGCACAAGGCAGCAGCTTTCACCCCGGGGGCAAGAGCTTGGAGGTGACCAGGCTCAGCGTGTGCTGCTCCCTCTGGAGCCAAGTGGCTCAGCCTGGGTCCTGAAGTCTCTGAGTTTCCCATCTCACCCTGCTGTACGGGTACCACGTCGTCCCCAAACAGTTGTCCTAGTTTCCCTAGGAGGTGGCTAATGATGGCTCTGACTTGCTCTGGGCACTGCCCAACCGGCTCTGTCTGGTCCAGTGCCCTGTCGCTGACCATGGCTCTGAAGTGGCTGCTTAAGGAATCATTTGCAGCTTAGGGCAATGTCTTCCTAACGCTGTCACTGCCCTGAAGAGGTACCAAAGAGCGAGGGACATGCTTCTCCCCAGGACTGTGATGTGTGGGGCAGGGAGGTGCTCTAGTTGGATGGTGCCTTCAGCATTGCAGCTGCGGGTGTGTACAGGGGTGAGGTGTTGAAAGGGAGCTTGGGGGCTCCCTGGGGATGGGGCTGCCTCTCTATCCCTCATTGGACAGTGCTGGTTTCGTCTCTTTCAGCTGCCCACTCTGATGAAAGGCACCTCCGATGATAACGTCCCATGCCCTGGGTACCTGTTTGAAGAAATCGCAAGTATCCTTTATTCATAGAGTCATAGAACACTAGAACTGGAAGGGACCTCGAGAGGTCATTGAGTCCAGTCCCCTGCCCTCATGGCAGGACCAAGCCCCATCTAGACCATCTCTGACAGGTGTCTGTCCAACCTGCTCTTAAATATCCCTAGTGATGGAGATTCCACAACCTCTCTAGGCAATTTATTCTGGTGTGTAACCACCTTGACAGGTGCGAAGTTTTTCCTAATGTCTAAACTAAACCTCCCTCACTGCAATTTAAGCCCATTGAATCATAGAACCATAGAGCTGGAAGAGCCCTCAGAAGGTCATCAAGTCCAGCCCCCTGCCCAGGGCAGGACCAATCCCAACTAAATCAACCCGGCCAGGGCTTTGTCAAGCCGAGACTGAAACACCTCTAGGGATGGAGACTCCACTACAGGCAGTCCCCGGGTTACGTACAAGATAGGGACTAAAGGTTTGTTCTTAAGTTGAATTTGTATGTAAGTCGGAACTGGCTCCAGATTCAGCTGCTGCTACTGAAACTGACCAGGGGCTGACTACAGGAAGCAGGAGGCAGAGTTGCTCTGCCCTAGGCTTCCTGGAATCAGCCTGATCAGTTTCAACAGCTGCTGAATCTGGAGCCTGGGACAGAACAGCTGGGGCGCTGCCTGGTAGGTTCCCACAGGACCAA